CATTTCCATAGTGGCCAAATTGTGTAAAGCTGTGTGAATATTGGAGAGGGGAGGGAGGGGAGTTTCATATAGTATTCGTCTGCATACAAAATATATTTCCACTACAAAAAGCTATTTTTCTTATACAAGCAACTGGCACCTCAGCCTTGAAAAAGGACAGCCTAACAGCATTCAGATTGTGCATATAAAAGAAACTATTTTCCCTACAATGTTCATGTTGAATAATTTCTTGCCTTTGAGGTCTCATGTTAAGTTTAAATTCTATTGTTCTGCAAGTAGACACTGTCATTTCCACGAACAATTTGATGTTTCATTGGTGTTACTTTATTTTCCAAAAAATAATATCCTAAATAAAACCCACCAATTCTGAACATGGCTATTTCAATTGATAGGTTCCTAGGGTATGCATAGACAGATTCATATGTTTGGAATAATAACTTCAACTCTAACATCTGTTATGTGTCATGTAATAATTTGATTATTATATAGGAATGGGATATAGCTAATTGAATTATGAATTAGTTTGATGTCAAAGACTGGATTCTGGACAAGATAGTTTTACATGTATAGGTGAAGATACTCCTGCAAAGGTTTTCTTGAAAATAATCAACAGAATCTAATGCAGCATAAATAATACCAGTTGTTTCCATGGTTTCCAAAAACTATTCAGGGTTTAGTGTAGTGCAGAACACAGCTGGACAATAAATCCATCGATGAAAGACACAATAACTATTGTTTTGCTTGATAACCTTTACACATTAAGTAGTTCAAACTGTAGGATACAGAATGCTTACATGTGGCTTAAATAAGTGTAACTTTGTGCATTTAAATAATGGGAACACTATATTGTTTGCTGAACTTTGGTTCCATTAGTTTTAAGGACAAATGGGACTTTAGATTTTTTTTTTTTAAAAAAAAAAACCTCTGTAAGTAATCTGTATTAGAGTGCAGATTTATTTTGATTTTCATTAAATTAAAATGTTGTTTCATTGTTGTTGCTATCATTGTTATTCTTGAGCAGAAATCTTTCAGAAGATTTCTGAAAACTTTTTCAGGACTGAGGAGCCTAGTCTAAGAATTGATGTCACTAATCATCGTTAAAAATTTGTTTATAAGAAGTAAGAGGAAGTCTAAGCTGCATTTGCATGCTTTAACTTTCTGTAAGTATACAGTGCTCATTTCTGAATCAGACCATTGTACTGTATATCATTAGCAGAGGTAGCATACATTTGAAAAAAAAAAAGAGAGAGAACAATAAATGAAGCAACATTGTCATTCCATATGTTGCAGGAATATCAGAAAAGCTCAGGAGGATCTTCAGCCAACACAACACACATGCACACTTCAAACAAGAATACACTAAGGCAGAAGCTTGTCTACCCCCAAGGATAAAACAACCAGAAACAAACTAAGCAATGTGGTATATGCATTACAATGCATGTGCAGATATGTACATTGGAGAAACAAAGCAGTCACTTCATAAATGCATGGAACAACATAGGAGAATCAACTAACCAGGCCAAGATTCAGCAGTCCATCTGCATGCAAAAGACAAAGGCCATTCTTTTAAAGATAGCAACGTCCACATTTTGAACAGAGTGGATTGCTGGTTTGTAAAGGGGTCAAAGAGGCCATCTATCTCCAAATTGAACAGCCCTCTTCAAGAGAGGAGGAGGGATACAACATCACCTATCTCCAATATACAACTCAGTCCTTTCAACAGTTCCAAGAAGGCACCACACTCATTTGCACTACTCAGGTGACCCTGATGATACTGATAAACTTCCAGGTGGCCTCAATGACTTTCTAAAAGAATTCAAATAACCAGTGGTCTGTAAGGAGTATAAATCATTTCATTCCCCACCATCCAGTCAGAGCTGAAGGAGGTTTTTGGATGAGAAGTGAAAAAAGTGTTGTGCCCCATCAGCTAACTGCAGAGTTACACAAGGGGGAGGGGGAGGAGAGCCTGGACCAGCTTTGGAGCCTTTGGAAGGCTCTGATAAGGAAAAAGCATCAGAGACAGAGGGAGAGCCCGGGGCTTTCCATCCTCTTACAGGTGGAGAGGCAGCTGTCTTTGGGGCCTGAGCTGAGTGAGGGGGAGGAACAGATGGGATCCATCCCAAATGCACGTATGTGCAGAGAGGAAAAGAGAGGAGAGCAAAAGAAAACAAAAAGCTGGCTCTCAGGGAGAGGCAGATGCAAGCCAGTCCCTCCCTGGCTGGAAAATAAATAGGAAGGGTTTGAGACTGGCCTGTTCTCACAGAAAACCAATCTTTTCTAGTATATAGCAGATTTTTTTTTTTACTAAATCAGGTTTGTTGGAACTAATTACATTTGATTTTTTATTTATCCATGTGAGTAAAAAACTGCCCTGTTATAAAAAGGGGTTTGTTTTACTTGCGAATAAAAGTCTTATCACTACTGGCTGGGTCAGAACAACAAGAAAGTCCAGTTGCCTCTTGAAAAAACACCTGTGGGATATATCTCCATGCCATATATTTCTTCTGTCTGAAGGTGGAAACACAGCAATTTTGTGGTCATGAAAGTCCTACTTGCTTTCAAAATCTCCTGGTTTTTATTACCGTTGACCCATCCTTGAAGATATGGCAGTTCAGATCACTTAACCCAGCTTGGGATTGGCTTCCTCTAAACAATGTCCTAAATTTGGGTGAAAGAAAATGCTTCATTACCAAACTCAAATTCAAAGCATGACTTTCTGACCTCATATTATATACCCATCTATTGTTATTAGCTGAACTACCCAATTCTTTTCATTCTTCTCTTCCTATGATAACAGCTTTAAATATAAAATCTAAATAAAACATTGTCCCTTAGCACAACATATTTATTTTCTACAATGTAACAGTCTGTAAGGTCCAGCCTTTCCTCCTGGTTCAAGAAAGTAAAAACTGTTGAAACTTTAACATTTCAAAAAAGAACCTTTTATTGAACAGGAGTGATGGCAGGATAAAAGGAAAGCAGACTCTGAGATTTCCTCAAACAATAAAGTTAGGATAAAGTAATTAGAAACTCATCCCTTCAGTCCAATGTGGATCCAGCCAATACGCAGGTGTGGCAATTTTATTGTAACGGCTTTCCTAAGAATGTAATAAGGGCTCGTTTCAGGGTCATCTTCTGCCAGCTTCAGAGTGATTCAACCCACATGGTCCTCCTCCCCCCCCCAGTGGTGAGATTCAAAAAAATTTACCACCGGTTCTGTGGGCATGGCTTGGTAGGCATGATGTGGCTTGGTGGGCATGCAGAGGAAGGATACTGAAAAATCCCCATTCCCTTCCCACCCCACTAATTTCAGTTTGGCTAGTCTAAAGAAAAGAAGAATTACGGGTGACATGGTAGCAGTATTGCAGTATTTGAGGGGCTGCCACAAAGAAGAGGGGGTCAAATTATTCTCCAAAGCACCAGAGGGCAGGAGAAGAAATAACTTGGAAACTAACCAAAATCAAATTTGGGATTAAGGAGAAACTTCCTAACAGTGAAAACAATTAACCAGTGGAACAGCTTGCTTTCAGAAATCAAGGGTGCTCCATCACTTGAACAGGGGGCTGGACTAGGACATTCTAAGGTCCCTTCCAGATTCTATTCTATTCTATTCTCATCATCTCATCTCATGTCATCTTTTTTTATCAGGAAAATGGGTAACATTTTCCTCACTGCAGCAACAGGTGGTTAGCAAAAGAATTTCACATCTCAATGAATTTACAGATGAATGGAATGCTAAATAAACCTATCCAGTTGTAAATTGCTTAAGCTTTCTTTCCCCTTTTAAGGAATCTAGTTAGTATGAGATTCTTTTTTCAGTGTGAATGGCCACTGAACCTAACTAAATCCTATCCTCAGTATTTCCTCTCTTTGTGAAGAATATTCATGCTTTCCTCTTCTAGATAAAGAAATTTTGCTCTTTTTTATGCAAACTAAGATGAAGAACACTCTCAAACTAGCATGATTAACTTTTAAATGGAACCTATCTGTATCTAAAAATCAAATCAATGCACAACAAAATAAAATTTCCTTCTTGGTAAAATGAGCTGTTATTGCATGATCTCCCCTCCGTTTCTATTTACAGCAAACAAAATAAAACAAACAAACAAAAACATAAGACACAAGATGAAATGTTGACAGTGTACTTATGGTATGGTCCACGACAGCCATTATAATCTGAATTGTAGTTCAAGTTAGGGGTATGAAAACATTAGAATAGGGTAGATTTAATGAAAAGTGCTGCTCATCCAACTTGTAAGTACTTTTGCCAAAACTTCCACAATGTTGGCTGAGAACTTTTTATTTAGTGAAATAATAATCCTAATAGCACATATACAAATATCACAAAGCACTCAAAATATGTGGTATGGATTTTAATTAGGAAAAAAGTATTCCTTTTACCCCTGATAATTATTATAGAAGCCAGAAGTTGTTTGAAAATGCTTAAAGTTAACAGATGAATTGTTAAGCTGTCTAAGGCAGTATGTCAGGGTTCCAAATAGCATCCAAAATTAAATCAGAGTTCAAGGCAAAGTATTCCTCAAAGTTCCAATTTATTAAGAGAGCTATGTTGGCACACCTGTGAAAACCTGAATCTGAAAGCTTCTTGGTTGTCCAGTTGAAAGTTCAAGATCTTGCCCCCACACCCACAAGTCCATCACATGGTCCAAACTTCTACTGCCATGCTGGCAGTTCCACCCATCCAGTTCCAGTCAGGTGCAGAGGTACCAAGACAAAGGATGACCTTGGCAATCTAAAAGGAATTTTATTTTGGTTACATCACATCCTACTCCTTACTATCCCCCTCCCATTTCCCCACTATAGAAACAGCATTGTAGATAGAAGTGTAGCAGGACAAAGATCCCAAAAGGAACCTGGCTGCAGGCCTGACAGAGTAATGCTGATGTCCCGCTGTTGAATATAACTATCAAGCAAGAACATTTGGCAAATCATTTTGGAAGTAATGGCCTGTCATTCTAAAGTATACTTAGAAGAGCAAAATGATTCATGAGGCTACTGTTGAACAAGTAATACATGGTAAGCAAGTTGACTTACCTTGCAAAGGTCCATATAATTAATTTTTTTCTAATTTGGAAGAAATATGATGATTTGTGTGATTTGTACAGCTAATTATAGCACTTCTACTCAGAAAAGACTGAAACTGTCAGCCTCTGTTTTGCTGGTTGCTTTCGGCTGCCATTGAAATGGGGAGGGGGGCATGGTATTTGGGTGGGGGAGTATTCAGTGCAGGAGTGACTATAAAAAGGGAGTTGTTCACACCATCTACTGTGCATGTTGCAGATAGAGAATTTGCCGCCAAGGTCAACTGTCCATCATACCAGCCTGATGATGCTTTTTGAAGATGTCTCCCACATGACACCTGTGGGGTGTACGATTGGACTATTGGATGGGGTTACAAAGGGGAGGGGGTTGGGTCACATATTGATATATATTATTACGCGCGCTTTTGCCTCAGATCTTGCTTTGCCTAGCTGCTATCTACTCATGACCAGTAAAGTACTCTTAATTCTGCAAAATTCTTAACTTCATGCACTTTTTGTTAGCATTCACTTCAAAAATATTCAACAGCCATAAAATTAAAGAAAGTCTCATGGGATATTGTGAAGAAAATATAGATAGATAGATAGATAGATATACCCTGATCATTACTCTGGTTCTGAACTGAAATTTTAAAAAAGTTTGCAAACTGGATTTTAGGGAACAGGTAACCTTCAGTATGTTTTCAGGAAAGTCACCATAATAAAAATAAATAATCCTTACTCTTCCATTCTCTTTCTCATGTAATAGAGGTTAGGATGGGATCTTTCACTTTCAAAAATGTGAATGGAGACTAGTCTTATAAGGCACCTGAGTCCCCAGAATTATAATTAATATGATATGCAATATCTGTAATCTCTGGAATTAACAGGGCTGATGCAAAATGGTAGGATCATAGAACTTTGCATGTATATTGAAACTATATTTTTTTTTGTGAAACAAGTGCTTGATTTGAATATCAGCCGAATTATAGATGTCAGTTTCAGCTGAAGTTAGAGCTGGTATTCAGATTTCCCAGAGATGTTACTTGCTGTTGTGATTTGGCATATCTTACCAGGTTTAAAGCACTGATATAGGAAGAGTCATAGTAGGTCAGACCAATTGCTGATCAGGCCCAGAATTCTATTATCCATAGAAATCAGCCAAATGTATTCAAAAAGCTTTTCTGAAATGTCAAGTCCTTTACTGGGCCATCAATTTAGTATAATTAACTTGAGTCCCCTAAAAATAAAAGTTTCATGAAACTAAAATTAATTCAGACTTTTTGACATTTGTGAGGGTGGCTATAACTTCATTGTGATCTTTGTGCACTGAAAAAAATGTGATTTCTCACAACCAAAAGTCTTATTTACCCTAATTTGAGGAAAACCCATTATTCAAAAGTATTGTATACGCTCTGTGTATAAGCTACTGTGAAATCATCTTTAAGTTAAATATGAGGAAAAAAGGAAAAAATAAATGCCCTATATTGCTGAAAATCAAAGGGAAACATGTTATAAAAACAACAATAACAACAACAATAATAATAATTCTTGATCCTTCCTTCCGACCACCAATCAGAAGGTAGGTCAAGATGTTGTGGGATTTCCGTATACAAATGGACAAAATACTGGCGCATAATACACCAGACATCACACTGGTTGAGAAAAATAAGGTCACAATCATAGACATCGCAATACCAGGTGATAGCAGNTCTTGATTTTATCCCTCTATTTATGCAGGCTAGAACTGGGGTGGCGTTTTTGGCAGCTGCTGCACACGGCTGGCTCAGGACCAGGGGTCTGCTTCATGCTTTTGGGAAGCCTAGGTCAGAAGAGGGAGATCCTCGCATTTTCTTCTTTTTCCTTCTAGTCCTGAAAAATCAAAGGCAGCCTCACCTCATCTGCTCTTGGTTTTTGTTAGCTAATACAGGAATAACAAACACCTCTTCCTACTATCTTGGATTTCTGCTTTCATCCCTCAGATGACAGATGCTTTCACAACTCTGTAAAAGATTAACTGGTCTTTCCTTTCCATTTAGGGGCTGACGGCAGAGTTGATGAAAAAGGGAACAAAGGTGACAAGGGACAACGAGGCTGGCCTGGGAAATTTGGGCCGAAAGGAGTTCCTGGACCAGTGGGGGACAAAGGTCAACAGGGGGAGCTAGGACCACAGGGAAGGAAAGGGATAAAAGGGGACCTCGGGCCAATTGGTCCCAAAGGACAAAAAGGTGAAATTGGAATTCAAGGTGAAATAGGATTAAGGGGGCCCATCGGTCCAAAAGGCCACGTGGGTCCTAAAGGAGAGATAGGGGGACCCGGACCAAAGGGCAATAAAGGCAATCAGGGAGAAAGGGGTTGGAAGGGAGCTCAGGGAGAAAAGGGGAACCTTGGCAGTACCCCAGTTATTGCCAGAAGCGCTTTCAGTGTGGGCCTTACCGCTAAATTTCCTCCACTCAATGTTCCCATCAAATTTGATAAAGTCTTATACAACGGCTTCAACCATTATAGCACCGAAACCGGACTGTTCACCTGCCAAATCCCTGGGGTCTATTATTTTACCTACCAGATCACTGTTTTTTCAAGGAATGTGAGAGTAGCTCTGGTTAAAAACGAGCACAGGATGCTCCACACTGCAGACATGTACCAAGGGTCCGAAGACCAGGCATCTGGGGGAATCGTCCTGGAACTTCAGAAAGGGGATCGGATATGGCTGCAGACTTATGGAGGAGAGACTTTCAATGGATTGTTTGCAGATCCAGATGATGACACTGTCTTCAGTGGCTTTCTTCTATTTAGTACCTCCGAAGCACCAGCATCTCTGCCCTCCATCATATAAGTTGCTTGCTTGGTTTTGAATATGTCAATCATATGGCACAGCTTACTTTTCACATGAAGTTTCCATCAAAGTTCATGAAGCCAAATCAAGACTTCCCAGTCTTTTATTTTTTTGGCAGAATGATGCTGAACACCACTTGCACATGACTTTGTTTATATGGTTCCTAAATATATTTTTGCTATTTTTTCCCCCAGAAAATCTACGATTGCACCAACACTAATACAAAATGCTAATATCTTACATAATTATTTAATCACAGGATAGAAAACAGTATGTTGTTATTCTTTCAATTGAGTAAACCTGTTTTAACTTTGTAGAAAAAATATTTTAGACTGATTAATAAAACCACACAATCCACTGTTATATATTTATACCTAAACATGTTTAAATAAAACAAAATAAGGTTTTTTTTCAAGATAAGAAATAATCCTGAGTTTCTCTTATTTTTCATTTCTACTGCCCCCCGTCCTGAGTAGACTTTAAAGCAAGTGATTCCTTGATCACATATCACATTCAATCATTATTAGTTTTAATCATGCTTTCTTGTGTATATTAGAAAAAGGCAGGTTTGTCCTGTAGAAAAGAAAACTATTAATCCCTTGCTTGGAAAAAAAAATCTGGTTTATTTAAAATTTTAGTTGCTGTTGCTATGGAGTCTTGTGGATTGCTTGGAATCCCCCAAAAAGGCACAAAATCAAATCAGAAATAAACCACAGAAATAAAAAAGCAAAAGGGTGATTAGAATGATTTTGGAACGTTGTTAAAACAGGTAAGGAGACAGATTCATTAGAAACAAGACTTTAAAATAGGTTTTGAATATTTGTTTATAGATATAAGAAATGAGATATTTTTTTAAATTGTATTTTTTAGAAAAAAATGACCAGGTCCTGTGTAAAGGAAAAGAAAGAAAAATATTATTTGCTTGTTTCAAGATAA